GTATGTATGTATGTATATGTATTTATATACACACACACATACACACACACACACATGCACACACATAAACACATACTGTACACACATTATATTTTAATATAAAATGTTTTATTTAAAATAAAGCGAACAACTCAGGAAAACTTAGCGGCCTATTTCTAGACCCATGAATAATAAAAATAAATAAAATAAAGCAAATCACAGGAACACCTTCGGCTTCTTTCTTTTCTTTAAGGTACAGTCTCTCCGAATCCTAAGTAACAGGATTAAATATCACTGGATTTCTTTGGGGCCAAATAGTGGCTTTTTTGTTGATTTGGGGTTGTTGTTTTTTTCAACCTAGGTGTCTCTCTCCCCGACCCACAAACACAAGAAGCTCCTGGGAGGGGGTCTAATTGTCTGCAAACCATTGATTCTCATCTCGCCATGCCCCTTATTTGGATAGCCCAGGCTCTCCCCCGGGCAATTTACCCACCCAGTCTCCCCCCCCTTGCTCACATCCGGCCTCTCCTGAGACTGTGTCCTCCCCGGTGCATGTGGTGTGTGTACATGCACACATCTTTCCCTTTTTCCCTGCTTTCTAAGGGGAAGAAGGGAGGACAGCCAGGAAAAGTTCTGCTTGGGCAACACGCGGTGTCCTTCAAGAGGGCCGAAAGGGACGAAAGCAGCCATGCAAGGTGAGTTGATTTACTTCCAGAGATGCTTCTGGTTATCCGCTCAGCACAGACACGAGGTCCTGTGCTCTTCCTGGGGTGTCATTTTCGGACTGTGCATCATCTAGCGTGGTGCGCAAACCGGACAGGGCAAGAGCGGAGGGGCGCACGGCTTGGAGCATTTTAAAAAGCGCGCCCGGCTTGGAGAAGGCGGAGTGCCGGTGGCTGCTGGGCTTAAGTGTACTGTGGGCTCTTGCACGTTTTAAGCCGGAGCCGAGCCCTGTTTAACTCGTGGATTTCAAGGAGACGCCTGTCTTCGTTGCCACTAACTGCCTTCGGGAATTTTCAGCTCTCGCTGGATTCCTTCCATTCGTTGGTGCGTTAGGTTGCCCTCCAGTCGCTCCCGATTGAAGGCGAACCCAAAGAGGGTTGTGTGTTTTTTGTTTTTTTGAAAGGTTCAAGGAGTGGTTTACCATTGCCGCCTGAGTTTAAACATCCCCGGCGGAATTTGAACCCAAGTCTCTGCTCTAGTTTGGGAATGTCTGCTGGTTTTCCTAAGGAATCGGCAACATGTCTATCGGAAATAGCAGCCTTTCGCTCTTTGAATTGCTTGCGCCCCCATCAAGTACGTATTTCTGAAGCAGCGACCTGTGTTAATCTGTAACATGTTTGAACGCAGACCTGTGTTAATCTGTAACTTGTTTCAACGCAGACCTGTGTTAATCTGTAACTTGTGTTGAACCCAAACCAGCAGAGTCCTGTGATACTCGAAAGGCCACTTTAAAAGCAAACAGATTGTCTTTGGTCCACGTTTTTAGGGACTATATTTCATTTTATTTCACAGAAGCTATCCTGGGCTCTTGTAGGCCATTTCTGAGAAGGGAGCCCTAACCGTTTCGACCGATCCTCTCTGGTTGATTTTGACTCCCTGTCCTTGGCCAGAAAATGAAATGCGGATGTGAATCTTTCACCTCCAGATCCTGACAAAACAGGAATGGGGATTATAGCTCGCCCAGGGAGGATGCGTGATGTTAGTCTGTTTCCTGTGTCTGGAATGTCTTGTTTTTTTCCTTCCTAATCTTCCTCCCCTCCCCTCACCGCCGTTTTTCATCGTAGGCGCCTCGTTTTCAAGCTCCTTTCTGGAGTTGCTGGACAGCCTGGTGAGGAGCATAGATCCTGACCAGCTGCCGAAGATTTCCAAAAAGCCGCACCCATCCGGCTCTCCCGTCGGCCCTCAGGATGATGGTAAGAGTTCAGGAAAGTTTGGCAGAAATTCTCACCCCCCCCCCCCCAATTCAACAAACCTCAAGGGTGAGAAGCATCTCTCTCTTGCTTTATTTCTAAATAAAAAAGATTTTTTTTAGAATGGATGTGCTCAATCATGGCTAAGTTTTGAAGGGTGCCAAGACACTATTTCCTGCCTTTTTGCCTGGCTCTATTGCATTCATCAATCAGCCAGAGACAGAGAAATCCAATAGATATTTGTTTATTTTCAGCTGAAAGCAAGCAAAGAGTCACCAACTTCACTCTCAGAAACATAGATATAATTTTTTTATTTTTATATCCTTAAAGATTTTTGTGTCTGTTAGTTGCCTATATAATTCCAACTAGAGTTATTTGACTATTTTGTATTAAAATCATCACATTTGGCTTTCAAGTTACTGTATATAGAACGGATCCAGTTATATGTCGGGTCCCATTTTTCAGATGCTTCTTGGATTGAATTGTCTTTCAAAGCTTCCGTTAATATGTCCATCTCTGCCACATCCATAATCTTTTTCCACCAGTTCTTCACAATTTGGTGTTTCGGTTTTCTTCCATTTCCAAGCAGTTAATATTCTGGCTGCAGAATATATTTTTATAAGCCTTCAAATGAGTAAGGGGGGGCCAAAGGATAGGGAGAGGGGGGGCAGGGAAGGAGGGTTTGCAAATATCATCCCTCCCAGTTCTGGGCGGTTAGACTCCCAGATCTCTTATCACTGACACATTCCCAGTTAGACCAGTTGCAAACCACAGCCATCCAGGCTGCCTCGCCCCCTTATCTGTTCTTATCTGCTAAAGCAGAAACTCTGATACCCTAAGTTTACACATTCATTTATCAAAGCAATTTACAGAAAGCAAAGTGGCTATGGTTAAACTATATACAATATATATATAAAGTTTCTGTAAATTGCTTCACTACATGAACGTGTAAACTTAGGGTATCAGTGTTGCTACCTAGCAGATAAATAAATAAATAATATGTATTAATTTGATCCCTTCAGTTTCCAGTGGATTTAGAACAGAGGTGGGTAAGCTGTGCGTCTAATTTTTTTGATGGTTCCCCAAGACTTGTGGAGGGCAGAAACACCTTTCTTTCTTTCTTTCTTTCTTCTTTCTTTCTTTCTTTCTTTCTTTCTTTCTTTCTTTCTTTCTTTCTTTCTTTCTTTCTTTCTTATATTTTTCTCTTGCCTTCCTCCTTAAACTCTCACCTTCCTCCTAAAAAAGGGCCCAAACCAACTTCGGAATGAAAAGCACACCATTAAAAGCTAAAAGTGGTAATTTATTCCAATATTTAAAAAGAATTAAATAACCATTATGCTAAAAATGTTAGGAAAAAAGCATGACTAAAACATTTGAAAGCAACAAAAATACAAACCCTCCCGTTTTAGAGCCTCTCTTCAGACAGACAGCCCCGAACGGGTAGCCACCGGAAGAGAAAGGTCTGCCGGCTGAAGGAGAGCCAAGAGGGGGCCAGGCTGGCCTCCAGTGGGAGGGAGTTCCACAGTCTGTGTGCAGCCACCGAAAAGGCCCTCTCCCTTGTCCCCCACCAAGGGCACCTGATGAAGGTGGTGGGACTGAGAGCAAGGCCTCCCTTAAGGATCTTAGCACTCGAGGAGGCTCATAGAGGGAGACGCGGTCCTTGAGATCGTTTGGATCCTGGCCGTTTAGGGCTTTACAGGTTAGAACCAGCCCTTTGGATTGTGCCCGGAAACGAATCGGCAGCCTGTGGAAAATCCCATTTTCTCTCCAACAGATTTCTCCGCCTCTGGGATTCTTCCGGACGGTAGCCAGTTTGACCTGTCTTGGGAAACAAGCGAGAGCTCATCATCCTTCCAAGACAGCGGGACAAATGATGAGTTCTTACCTTCGCTGGCACCACCTCCTCCTTCGCCGCCACCGCCTTCTCCTCCTCCTGCCAGTAAGAGAGCTAGAATTTTGGGGGTGGTTATTTCCATGGATTTTCAGCCTATTTTGAATATATATATATAATTTCCCTTCCTGAAATGAAGAATTCAGAACTGCCATCCCATGCGGGAAATTCCACATAAAACTTCTGTGTCTCGTTTCTTTCTCTGGCTGGTGCAATGCCTGGGAATAGAATAAAATTCGCTGCAAAGGCAGACAGAGGGTATACGTCGGGGAGGGAAGTCTTTGGCCCTCCAGGTATTTTGGATGTTGGTTCCAAAAGGTCCAGAGATCACGGGAGTTCTTGTTCAAAACCATCTGGTCTCCCTGTTGCTCCCGGCGGAGGTTGATGTTGTTGACTTTGCAGGGCTGGTTGAACCCGCTCCAGGTTTTATTCCGAACTTTAGAGGAGAGATATAAGTTGCTGAATGGCACCTGCAGCAATTTCGATAGCTCGTTTAACGTTTGGGCCAAAACTGGGAGCAAATTCCCTACCCCACCCTCCTGAAATTAGAGTCACCAACTCCACAGGTTGCTGCGTACGGATGACGCCCGGGCGGCCCGGCAGCCTTGAACTCGGGTTTCACCCTTTGCCTCTCTCTGCGGCCCCTTTGCAGGAGCGCCTCCTTCACCGATTATCATCCCCCGCTTATCCCTCGAAGTCGGTAGGAGCGAACTGGACGATCAGTTGGACGAAGCAGAGAGGGCCATCAAGGAGCTGGTGACCTACTGGGAGCACTGGTCTGAAGCAGACAGCGATGATGTACACCAAGAGACGAACAAGACCCGTAAGTGATGTCCCGGAAGACGGACAACATGAAAGCCCCACCCTGCTTCTTCCAGTGCTGGCTGGGAAATGGGATGCCTTTACAACTCCTTTTTTAAATGGATCTCCAATCTCTTAGTGTGAACAAATTCCAGCTGCGGAAGGCTCAACAGAGCCTCCCTAGTAGGAGCAGTCTACCTCTGAATACAGTGGTGCCTCGCTTTACGATTGCCCCATTATGACGAATCCGCTTTATGATGTTTTCGCTTATGGCGATTTTCCTCGAACGGATTATCGTCGTTAAGCGAGGCACCACTGTAGAAGGCTACTAGAGGGTGGCAGCTGAGAAGGGCTCTTGTTGAGCCCTCTTGCCCTGATTTTTTTCTCCTCTTTTTATTCCTCAAGGACCTGTGTTTTTTTCCCCACCCCTCTCACCCTTGTACAGGTGAATGGCCTCGGGGACATCCCTTAGACCTGCACGACGAATACATCCGCGAGGACCCCGATTACGACGAGGCTTGCGTGGAAGGAGAAGCTTTACGAGGTGAGGCGGTGGGGGAAGAGTAGCGGAAATCCAAGCTGTACCTTCAGACCTTTCCCCACAGGTTGGGTGTTTTGGGCTTCCTTGGCCGTGACTCCTTCCTGTCACACATGTTCGTTCTTTCGATGTTTAAGCGAGGCAACTCTTGAGAGGAAAGAAAAACACTTTGTTCCCCCAAACTTAGACAGGCTCCAGGGGGTTCCTGATGCCATGGGTGTGTATGTGAAGGAGATCCAGGATAGAAATGTCTCATCCAGTTTCAAACTCAAACCCAGGGTTTCCTTTAGGAGTCTGTTCATCTCACATTGGGGACCTTCCTCTTTTCCTGCTGCTTTCCACCTTGCCCAGTGTGATGGGCTTTTCCTGCCTTCTCAGGATGGGCCCAAAGAGGGACAGCCTCATTTTCGACCTTTCTACCTCCAGAGAGAGTTCACGTTTGATCCTTCGGCTAGCCGTTTGCCATGTTCAGGGCTGTCAGACAGAAGAGGACTCAAAGGTGCTCAGATGGCCCTCCGTGACGGCCTGATTTATGCCGTCTGCGGAGCTTTCTAAGCCGGGATGTCAAGACATCTCGCTAAATTTCTCATTTTCACCCAGGCAGGCTGTCTGGAGGGGCCCGAGGTGCATACCTTTTTAATGGCTGCCTCCATTTTGCGCAAAAATGTGCCTGAGGTGAATCTCTGGCTTGGTTCCCTCACGGAGGCTAGAAATCTCTCACGGGGTCCATGAACTCTTGAGAAGCTGCCTGGGTTTGGTCCAGTTGCAGAAATCCAGGCAAAATGCGTTCTCGCAAACAGGAAACATTTGGCGACTAGGGGACAAATGTGAAGGCAACAAAGAAAGGATCGAGGCCTGCCAGAATCCTTGTCCCCATTAGGAATTAAGAAAGAGGGGTCATGTTTCCTCCCCCTTCTATTTCCCTCCACAAACTCTGTCCTTAAATGTTGTGTTTTCTCTTCCGTAGACTATGAGGCTGAATTTAGAGAGGGTCGTATGCCAGCGGCCATTGATGAAGCAGACCATCCAAAGGAAAACGTGGATTCCTTAGCGGGTGGAAGCTGCGTGGAGGGCGTCTCTCAAGAAAAGCCCGTTGCTTCCACCTCCTCTGTGGCCAGGCTACCCTGTGGAAAGCTGGTTTCCCTCAAGAAACTGTCTGTTTGCTTGAGAAGGCTGCAATCCCCAGTTGTGCGGAAACAGCTGGACAGCGGCCCGGACGCTGGTACCGCTAGCGAGAGAGAAGAGGCAGCCGATCTCCCGAGGAAGAAGCCGAGGCAGAGGTTGCACTACGGAGATGTTGAGATGGGGGCCCCCAATGGGAACAGCCGGAGGGCTTGTGCCCCCACCGAGGACTTAGCCAGAGGAGAGATGCTTGAGCGTGGTCAGAAGCCCACCGGAGGTGAGCCCACCCCTCTCCACGACGGTCTGTGCAATCTCCGATCTTCTCATCGGATGCTTTTGTGGTGTCGTGGTTAGATCTTGAGAATGAAAGTGAGACCCAGGATCGAATCTGATAGCAAAAGCCCCCTCCCTCTTTTTTTTTATTGTTGGCTTATTCCATTTTTTATTGTTGGCTATGTTCGTTTTTGGTTTTATATGTATAGCGCTGTGCACTAACGGGGTGATACAATGGTGCCTCGCAAGTCGAATGTAATTCATTCCACGAGAAGCGCTGTCTTGCGAAAAAAAATCCTCTTGCGAAAAGCGGCTTCCAATAGGAATGCATTGCAATGCATTCCTTGCAAGACGAATGAATTTTTCTTCTTCTTGTGAGGCATCGGTCTCAGGGGGAAAAAATCGTCTTTCCAAGCATGGCCATAGAAGAAGCCGTCTTGCCAGGTACCATAGCCATCGAAAAAACCATTCGTCTTGCGTTTTTTTCGTCCCGCAAGGCATTCGTCTTGCGAGGCACCACAGTATATATAAATAACAGAAATAAATTTATTATATTGGTGTACTGCCCAAGGTGGAGCAAAGCACTCTTTGTGGTGGTTAATGACCAACATACACATAAATAATATTTCACCCAGAGTGGGGCTGTGGAGTCACTTGCTGACGAATGAGTAAATGCCATGGATTCAATGGCTCTACTCTAGTTTTTAATTGAGGCCAATGGGTTTGGAGCAGTGTTTCCCAATCTTGGGTCCCTATAAATAACAGAAATGAATTTATTATATTGGTGTACTGCCCAATGTGGAGAAAAGCACTCTTTGTGGTGGTTAATGACCGGCGTGCACATAAATAATATTTCACCCAGAGTAGGGGCTGTGGAGTCACTGGCTGAAGAATGAGTAAACGCCGTGGATTCAATGGCTCTACTCTAGTTTTGAATTGAGGCCAATGGGTTCGGAGCAGTGTTTCCCAATCTTGGGTCCCTAGAAGATGTTCTTGGACTACAACTCCCAGAAATCCTGGCAAACACAACTAGGGGCAAAAGCTTATTTCTAGGAGGTGTAGTCCAATAACATCCGGAGACTCCAGGTCGGGAACGATGGGTTTAGAAGTCCTGTAAGTTGAACCCAAAGCTACAGTTTGTCGAAGTCCAGCCTTCTTGAACCACAATAACGAAGATCTCAACATAGCTCTCTGTGTTCTTGCCGTCCTCTTGCAGGCCGCACCGACGCGAGTTCGGAAAGCTCCCGCTCTCCGACTCCAGAAGGGCGTCCCTCAAAGCCGTACCCCTTACGCCAGAGAAACAAGACAGTCCGGTACGCTCCGGGAGATGAAGAGGAGGGCAAGGAGAACAGCGGAGAAGGTTCGGAGGGCAGCTCGGAGGAAGAGTGGCCGGGAGAGAGCGAGGCCGAGGAAACCGAGGAAGCTGAGGAAAGAGCGACGCGGCCGGCCCCCGCTCGGAAAGCACGCCAGAGAGAGACGCTCAAAAAAGGTCCCCGCCATTACAGATGCCCCGAGTGCGGCCGGGAATTCAGCAACAGCAGTAATATGTGGAAGCACCTGCGGATCCATAAAGGGGAAAAGCCGTACGGCTGCCACGTCTGCGGCAAGTCCTTCTCGGATCCCTCCAACTTCACCAAGCACCAGCAGCAGGCGCACTCCGGCGAGCGCCACTATCAGTGCTCCTTATGCCCCAAGGCCTACTTCTTGAAGAGCAGCCTGGAGAACCATTTCCGCCATCACAGGGGGATCCGGGCCTTCGCCTGCCTCGAGTGCGAGAGCAGCTTCTTCTCCCGGGCCGAGCTGCTGAAGCACATGGCCGTCCACATCTTTGGCAAAGGAGGCCACCGCCCCCAGCCTGCGCTGCGCTGCGAGGAGTGCGGCAAGACCTACCCCAGCGCCAGGCTCCTTCGCCATCACAAACGGTGCCACAGGCGCTTTGAGTGCGAGATCTGCGGCCAGTTCTTCAGCCGGAAGTACAAATACAAATTCCACCTGAAGTGCCACGAGGAGCCCTCCGCACACGGCGGGGTGGCCGGGCGGCATCTCAGCGAACGTCGACAACAAACCGCCCAGCGTCCGAAAAGCTCGGAAGCCCGAGCTTTATCGGCATCCCCAGCGGCTCCTTCTGGAGGTGAAGACCAGCTCCTGGGGCTGGCTAGACGTCCACCGGAATCCTCTGGTTCTAGCAAACCAACAGGGAGGCCTTCGTGCCCTGAGAAGTCCTCCGTTCCCTTCCGTCCCTCGGTCCCAATGAACGGAAGAGGGGAGCTCCCGGATCCGGCTCGCGCGAGCAATCCCGGAAGATCCTCAAACTCTGCTCGGGGGCTCACGGAGCCTCCACAACGACGCAAGCCGTCGGCCTTAATGTTTCTGGGCGATAAAGCCACCGGGTCTGCCGAGCCCAACCTGGCTGTCCTCCAGCCCCAACCGCTCGCTCCGTCAGTTTCGGAAACCGGGCCCCTTCGTGGTTCAGAAGGAGCTGAGCCTCTGCAGACAAACCAGATGGTGGTAGCTAGACCTCAAGGTCCAACCTGGAGAACGGGCCCAACCAGTCGGCTTCCTGAACCAGAGACCTCTCTGTTGCCTGCCCAAGTGGTCAGAGCTTCTGGGGCTGGCCCCTCGGGCAGGGGCGCTCGTCCCCAGACGCCTTTCCCCATAATAGTCTCGGTGGGATCCTTGGCATCCCAAGGAACCATAATTACAAATTCAAGCCACCTGCCTTCTGTGGGTTCTGCCCAAAATATGCCCATTCTTTGGCCTTCAAATTCAGCTCAACTCCTAATTCCACCCTCTGTGACAGCTTCAGTGGGGCCGCAGCCGGTAGCCGCAAACAGAGCCCAGCCATGTGCCGCGGCGACTTCTGCCTTCCTTGTTTTGTCCTCCCCTCCCATGGTTCCGGGTCCTCTTGCAAGTTCAAACCCAGGGCCGTTGACTCTTATGGTTCCTCCAAGCGGTCCATGCTCGGCCTCAGCGCCGCCTGGCTTGAACCTCGTCCAGCAGGGAGGTGCAAATGGAGGCTTGCTTCTGGTCAGCTCCGCGACCTTGCCCCCAGGAACCAAGATCACGTTAGAGATCCCTGCTCAGAAGATCTCCCTCCCAGCCGTCCAGATCTGCCCACTCTGCCAGGCCAGATATTTTGGCGAACACGACTGCAAGGCGCGACACGCCGAGCCAGGTAGGTTGGTTATGTTTTTCAACTTACCGTATTTTTCCATGTATAAGACTATACTTTTGTCTAAAATCGTTAGACTAAAAATTGAGGGTCATCTTAGCCGCCTAGAGTGGTCCGGTGGGCCAGATAGGCGGGGTATAAATTAAATAAATAAATAAATAAATTATACACGGAAGCAAACTAAGGAGAGAACAAAAACAAGTGGAGGGGAAAGCAGGGATCAAAGCGATCCTGCAGCGCTTTGATCCCTTTCCTGCTACACTTGCTAAGCCCCACTTAGATTTCTTAATTTTGGATTAGAAAAGTGGGGGGCGTTTTATACATGGGGGCGTCTTATACACAGAAAAATACGGTATAAACCATAAATCCTTTGCTTGCAAAAGCAAAGTGTGCTGGTGATATAGTGCCCCATAGCCCTTAAAACACTCTCTTGGTGGTCAATTAACTGACCTCAGAAGGACGGAAGGCTGAGTGGGACTCTCTGGGTGGTCAGTTAACTGACCTCAGAAGGACGGAAGGCTAAGTGAACCTCACACTGGCTATCTGGGATTGAACCCGGATCGTGAGCAGAGTTTTGGCTGCAGTACTGCAGTTTAACCAGTATCTCTTTCGTTATTTATTTTAAATATTTTTACCCTGTTTTTCTCCTTAAAACAGACCCAAGGTGGCTTGCATCATTAAAAGGCAATATTCAAAGCTGAAAACAGTAAGCAGACGGATATTTAAACAGATCAAACAAACACCACAGTAAACAACAGTAAACAAAAGCAACACAAAGACACATTCAAAGCAGTAAGGCACGACAATCTATTTAAATGCCCCACCCAGGAAGTCAGTCAGTGAGGGAAAACCTGCCTGAAGAGACCTGGTTGGGGATGGACAGCAAAGATGGGGACAGCCTGTTTTCCAGTGGGAGGGAGTTCCAAAGTCTGGGAGTAGCCACAGAGAAGGCTGTCACCTCTGTCCCCACCAGATGTACCCATGAGGGTGGTCGAACTAAGAGAAAGCCCTCCCTTGATGATCTTAACACCCGGGGAGGCTCATTATGGGATCCCTCTGACCAGCCCCAGTTGTAATCTGGTCACAATGTTTTGGACCGGAGGAAATGTCCAGAGGCGTCCCCACATACAGCTTGTTCCATTAATCCAGCCACACATTTCAGCCCTTGCCTGATCCTGCTGGGTGAAAAAGGATTAAAATTCTGCCCTAAGAAACATGCACATGTTTAACCTATTAAAAGGCAAGTGGCTTTCATTTTCACTCCCTCTGTCATATTTTGCATACATTATTTCAGTAACGGGATGAGAAAGTTGGAAGGGATCCCTGCCAAGGGCGGATCCAGTTTATCTGTGTTGGGTTTTTAAAATCAATCTCTGTCTTGCCCGGGTGTTTTTAAAACGTATCTCGGAACTAGAAAACTTTTCCAAGAAAAAAAAAAGGTTGTGAATGGAGGAAGTCGGGTGTGCTCTTTAACAATGGGGATTTTTCTGATTTCTTGCACTACCAATCTCATAATTCCTTATTCTGGGGATTCTACCCGATTTAACACACACCCTACAGACGCCCCACTGTGGCTCGCCTGGAAAAAAAAAGAATCTCATCTGGAAAGCGTCAAAGCTGAGCTAGGCCTAGTTCCACCCCAAGCTTCCTCTTCCTGCCCCAGTGCTAGCTGGGAGTTTTCTTTCCAAACAGGAAGCTAGGCCTAGCTAAGCCTGAAAGTCTTCCAGTTTAGACCTTCTTGTTCTCCGTTGAACCACATCCAAGTGTCTGTGAATTAAATTCCTAGAACGGAGAAATGTCCAAAAAAATACAAAAATCTCATCTCTAGTGCTTTTCCTTTCACGGCAAGCCCACATCTTCAGTCCTGATAGCATTTATGCAGCCAATATTCTCAGTACTGTATAATTCCTGTATTAAATCTTAAAAGGATGGTTTGTGACTTAAGTGTACGCAATGCGGGCTTCATGCAGGGAGCCCGTGGCTGTATTGAGACGAGCTGGAGACTTTGTTGTTTACAGTCCTAGGCACATAATTAGGCAACAGATATCTGATTGGATCTTCCCTCTCTTTTACATTTTAGCAAATGGTATTTTTCCGCATGCCTCTGTGTGTGAGATTATAATCTCCTAAATGACAGTGGGAGAAAGCATTGAAGACAAGAGCAATCCCCTAGGGCTGAAATTCTGATCAGATAGCTGTTTGCTCAAATGTAGAGAGATAGGAAATCGGGTGTCTGATCTTCATTGTCTCATCTAGTTAAGCCTGTTTGCCACAGCCGACCAGCTTCCTGTCTGCTAGTAGAACTTGTTCCGTAAGGCGAGTAGAAATGTCAAGATCCCGTTGCGGAGTTTTGAATTTCTGGTTAAATTCGACAGAAAGACAATGGTCTAAAGGGGGGAATTTCACTTAGCAATGATCGGTTCCCTGCTTCGGGAACCGATTTTCGCTTTACAAAGATCAAAAACAGCTGATCGTCGGATTTCAAAATGGCCGCCGTCTGAAGAAAATGGCCCCCTGCTGTGCTTAGGGACGGATTCCTCGCTGCACAGGCATGGAAAGTGGCCGCCCCTATGGAGGATCTTCGCAGGACGGTGAGTTTTCAGCCCACTGGAACGCATTAACGGGGTTTTAATGCGATTCAATGGGCTTTTTTATTTCGTTTGACGATGTTTTCACTCTACAGCGATTTCACTGGAACGAATTAACGTCGTCAAGCGAGGCACCACTGTACCCCCTTTTCTCATCAACTGGCATTTACGTTCTCAACTCAGAGACATTAGAAAGAGAAAGACAGCAAGCTGGGGGAAAAAATTGATTTGAGCTACAGACCTCAACAGACTCAGTCAACAAAGAGGGGGAAAAGTCAGAGCAGAGAGGCGGGACTCCCTAGCCATAAAACCTCTTCTGATGTAAAAAAAAGTACTAATGAATGGAGCTTGGGACGATATCCCATTTTCCTCTGTCTTTTGTGGTGTCTGTTTTGCTGGGAGAGTGGCGGGCTTCTGGATTCAACCCTGAGCTTGCAGGCATGGTGTCGGCGGTGGCCGGGAGCGGCTTTTGCATGGTTAAAGCCGGTGCTTCCACTGCGCCCGTTCCTTGAGAGGTCTGATCTGGCCGTGATGACAAAGACCTTGGTCCCGGCTTGCTTGGACTACTGCAATTCACTGCATCTGGGGCTGCCTTTGTAGACTGTTTCAAAAACTTCTGATGGTTCGAAACTCTGCCTTCAGACTGCTAAAAAGCGCTGGTGATGGGGTGTACTGTATATACAGTGGTGCCCCGCTTGACGACATTAATTCGTTCCAGCGAAATCGCTGTAGAGCGAACACGTCGTCAAACGAAATAAAAAACCCATTGAAACGCATTGAAAACCGTTCAATGTGTTCCAATGGGCTGAATACCTGCTTGTCCAGCGAAGATCCTCCGTACGATGGCCATTTTCTGGTGCCTGTCAAGCGAAAAAGCCTCCCTAAAAACAGCAGGGGGCCATTTTCTTCAGCCGGCGGCCATTTTGAAACATGACGATCAGCTGTTTCCAGGCCCAATTCAAAGCGCTGATTATGACCTATAAAGCCCTATATAGTTTGGGGCCAGGCAGTCAACCCGCCCCCCCATGAGCCTTTTCAGCTCTTAAGATCATCTGGGGAGGCCCTTCTCTTGGTCCCTCCACTTCCCAAGCTCATTTGAGGAGGACACAAGACAGGGCCTTCTCGGTGGCTACTCCCAGGCTTTCGGCTGTTCTGCCCCTAAAAGCCAGGTTGACCCATTCCCTCTTGACTCTCTGTTGTGAGCCAAGGACCTAAGCTTCTAAGGAATAAGAGGGGCTTCCAGAAATTCTGTCTTTATCCACTATTCGTTCAAACGGTTGTGAGCTGCTTTGGGTCCCCTATGGGGAGAATGGTGGTAGGTCAAGAACAGAAACAAAATAAATAAATTCAAAACGGTAACAAAAGACGGTAAACCTTTGAGTGAGGGGAATTATTGTCATTATTGTTTGGTTCTGTTATTCAATGTACGTTATGTTCTTAAATGGTTTTTCTCTTATTTTTAAGCCTCAGGGAGGGTTAAAGAGTGGTTGGGTTTTGTAGAAGAAAACCAACAGAATTCTCAGGGAATGGTGCGTAACTGTCCGAAGTTCTTCGTCCGTTTGATGGAAGGAACATGGGATGTTAAGAGTAAGGTACATGTCTTTGTTTTGGCAGTGATAAGAAGCGAGGATTTGAGTTCATTCAAGTGGCAGAATGGAGAGGCGACCACTATCCTTCAGCAGCTGGCAGTGGCCTCCCAACAATCACAGCCCGTGGCCCAGCTTCCTCCTCAAAATGGTGGAGAACCGTCGTCCCGCAAAGTCCGAGAGGTCCATTCTGAAGGGATCTGTGTCGACGGAAAGGAAGGAGACGATGCGTTTGATCGGGAACCCTCCGTGACCAGGTCCTACAACTTCCGAGAGGGTCGTTCCAGAGTGACCTATGTGGACAGAGAGGAAAGCAGCGAGGTAGAACGGGATACAGATAGCGACTGGCGAGGAGAAGAGTCGTCGTCGAGCGAGTCCGAAGACGACACGGTGCCCCCTGAGAAGAGGCGCCGACTGGTTTCTCCCTCGAGTGGAAGGGACCGGGCCAGGCGTCGGAAAGGACGCTACGTGTGCCATATCTGTGACAAGCGGCTGATCTACGCCCGGTCCCTGAAACACCACCTGCGCCTCCACCGGGCCTTCTCCTGCAACCAATGTAGTGCCTCCTTCATCAGCAGTGACCAGCTGAAGCGGCACAAGGCCAACCACGATGATCGTTTTCCGCCATTTTGAAAACCTATCACAACTTCCCTGTTGGAGCAAGATGGAATACTGTGTTTGGATTCACAAGGGGATCAAGGGATAACATGACGTCTTGTTCAACCAGGGTGATTGGGCTGGAACTATATTTCTTACTTTAAAGGACTTTTTGCCAGCTTGCTTATTGCCGGTGGTTGTGGTTCACTGGATTCCGGGGGGGATTTTTTCTCTTACATCAAAGCCTAATTCTGATTTTTAATATATATTTTTTTGCTGTTCCCCATAAATAGCTCCTTCAAGCTGGGCGAAATGGTTTTGATCTTTTGAATACTTTATGTTTTATAGATGAGTGTTATTATTTTTTTCTAATATGGTGGCATGTTTCCCATGCTACATAAGTTACTTAAAGGAAACTGTTTATTATAGGTATATATAAACTCAGTTTTTTAAAATCCCCCCCCCAAACAAGGTGCCATAGAACCAGAAGAGAAATAATGTATAATTTAAAATATATTTGAACACAATGTGTTTAAAGCCAAAGGCCTGACTAAATAACAGAGTTTTGACTTCCTGTTGGAAGCTCAATAACTGTGGCCCCATCCTGATTTTGAGGAGAAGCGCTACACTTGTATACCGCTACAGAAAAAGTTCTCCGTTGTCACCGATCCAGCCTTTCAGAGTGATGGGACATGCAACGGGGCCTCTCTTGAAGATCTCAGATTCTGTCGAGAGCCACCTGGGAGGAAGCAGTATGCAGATACCCTGGCCTCTGGCTTTATCTTGAACCAGGTTTGGGTGTGGGGGACAGCTTTAGCACCGTACCGCTTTAGCACCGTACCACTTTAGCACCGTACTGCTTTAGCGCTGCACTGCTTTAGCGTCGTACTGCTTTAGCGTCGTACTGCTTTCTAAGAGGACTTGTTTTTCTTGTCAGAGGCTCCCAGTTTGAAAGCCTTTAATTAATCCTTAAATTAGCATCTACACAGAAAAAAGATCATCCAGAGGGAAAGTTGTAGCAAGGAAGGAATTTATCAGGATTTCTGTCCTGGGAAGCGCAAAGAAAATTATTTTGAAGGCGCTGACTCCCATGATACGGGGCCTTAATTTTAATTTTGTCTGTAGACATTGCTGAGCCTTGGTCCCCATCAGAACAAGCCGTGCCAGCGTGTCACTTATTTATTATGGTACTTCGATCCCTCTAGACAGGCCTATAGCAGCATGGTCTGCGGAATTAAAACATGAGTCGTCAAGAGTGGTACATCAAGAGCTAAAGAGAAACTTGACATGCTAAGGGGAAAGACCAGCTTGGCCTCATCCACCCACTTGAGAAGCAAGTAAAACAGAAAGCCATGTTTCCTCATTTTTGCTGAAAAGATGCAAAAACTTTGGCCACTATCCTGTTGCTAGTCCTGGCTAGAGTAAACTCATTGACTCAATAGGATTTACAAAGTGTGGACTTGCACTCAATGACTCTGTGATGCAGACCGAGTGCCTTTGTCTGAATTTTTCCTCCTCCTTCTCAACTCCTTTTCCTTTTGTGCTATTACTCCTGTTATTAAAAATACATTTTTATGAGCTGATCTTGGAGTAATTTTTTGGGGGGGCTGGCAAGAAAGCAATTATAAAGAAGTCACGCAATAAATGAATGCACCCCCCTCCATTTTATCTTCACCTAATTTATTACTGCTGAATACTCTGTCTCAGTCAGCATTGCCACCTTGCTTGGTTGGGGTCAGTTTTGCCCAGATTCTAGCTAACCCAGCTGGTGCCCGTGTCTATCATCTGTCCGGATTCCCACCTTTCATTTCATTTACCTCTTCAGATCAGGCAGTGATACATCACTTAATTATACGTCACATAATTGGGTGCATTAGTGTTGACTAGTGATGCACCTGATTTACATTTTATGCAAAGTCTGGGAAGCAGATCCAATGCAGTGGAATATGCTAACTTTAGTCTCAGTATTCCCAGTGTGGTGTCGTGGATAGAGTGACGGACGAGGACTCTGAAGAGCAGGGTTCAAATCCCCGCTCAGCCATGGAACCTCGCCGGGGCAGTGGAATTGGTAAAACTACCCCTTAAATATCTCATTTATTTTGAGAGCCTGTCTTAGAGTTGCAATAAGTCTGTTCTGACTTGATGGCACATAACACACAGCGTTGCACAGATCAGCTGGCGGTGGATGCTTAAAAAAAGCGAAAATCTTCGTTACTCAGCCTGAAAGCTGTCTTTTAAACTGGCCTACGTTCCTGGGGAGAGGAGACCATATGCTTCCTTACTCCTCACTTCCCGGCTTCTGTTGCGATCTCCCCTTCCTCCTTGCGGCCCGGAGAGACGGCTGGCACCACGCGGAATGCGCCAGGCGGGCCTTGACAATATTATGATGCTTTCTCTCCCCGGAGTGGAAATCTCCATCTGCGTGAGCAGATTGGCAATGGAGTGTTGCAGATCGTGTGTTTTGGTGCAGGATTGAGTCCCACAGGGGCCTGTGAGAGCGTGCGTGCGTTAATTCTGTCTGTCACACTGCGTGCTGTGCGGAGAGCTGCAAAACCAGCACGCCGGAGACCAGGCAGCTACCAGTGTCGCTCTTGAACCGTGGAGGCTTTCTCGGTGCGAGAGCCTGATTTAATGCCCCTTGTACTTGTTGCTTTGATGTGGTAACTTTTAAATTTAAAGAAACCTTCAGGGAGGTGGTGGTGGGGGAGACTTATTGCCAAAGAATGGGGATGTAAATGTAATAAAACGGATGATCATTAATTGAGTAGAAGGGAAAAGTCCCACAAAGGTTTGGAAACAGGAACACTGCACTTTGCTGAAAAACTCTGCTTTTAAGCTTCCTTTTTATCTGATGGTTGCCCTCTTAGTCTATGAGATAATAAGTTACTTATAGGACACGCTGCAATCTGAAGCTTTAAGTGATCTCAGCACACGAGGTGGCATGTCAATCAATCAATCAATCAGTCAGTCAATCAATCAATCAATCAATCACGTGCAAGCAACTTAATTCCCTCTTAGGGCAATCATTTCCAGAGTTGTCTCGGTACAGAGGAGCGAGCAAGAACATTAGGTCGTGTTTCCTTTTGGATAGTTCAGTGGTTTAGGTATGTGACTACGGAGCCGGACATTGGGAGTTCTAATCCCCCACAGGGCCTCCTTGAAAGGGGCTGGACTGGATGATCTATAGGATCCCTTCCAGCTCTGCCGTTCTCAGATTATTTGAACTAAGGGAGAATGAATGACCCAAGGAAACCCAACAAGCTTCATGACTGAGAGGAAATCGGGTCCCGTGTCTTCTGAGTCGTAGGCCCACACTAACAAGGGCACCCGGCTGGTTTTTAGAGATGCTGGCCTCAGATTTGGGGTGTTCATGTCCGTGGTTCCCACCCTTGGGTAACCCACATGTTCTTGGACTGCCACTCCCAGAAACCCTGGCCAGCAGAGGTGGTAGTGAAGGCTTCTGGGAATTGCAGTCCAAGAACCTCTGGGTGACCCACAGTTGGGAACCACTGGTCTATACTGATAATGAACACATTTTCTCACTGCTGGTCCTTAAGCAGCCACAAGAACACCATCCATGCGCAGGAAATATTAGCAAATCCTGAGGCTTGCCAAAGTTTTTTGAAGCAATCTATGAGAGAGAGAAAAAGTTTCCTAGCTCCGCCGCTCCGCTCTTCCTCTACCCAGGAAGAGAGTCAGTAAAGAACGATGTGCTTGTTAGTTAAAGAAGGGTGGTTAGTTGTTTAAAAAAGAAATGAGAAAAGAAAAAAATGGAAAAGGGAGGGAGAAAGAATGGATCGGTGTCTCCAGAACAGAACAGGGTGTTCATAAAAAGAACATGGACGAGTTTAACTGAAAAAGGAATATTCTTTCCTTTGCAGGTCCAACTTAGATTAGCAAAGAACCCCACTTTATATAAGACCCTTCTGCTTTCATGTTCTGTTCTCTCAGAGGCCAACTCGCACTGCTTGTGAGAAACCCACAAACACAATAACACCCTGCCACTTTTCTTTGCCAGCAACAGATATGGAATATTCTGGGATTTTATATATAAAATCAGTCTCTGCTTGTGAGTGATATTTTTGGAAATCTTTTAACTGTGTTTGGAACCTGATTACTGCTACTCACCCAAAATTGCTCCCACATATTTAGACAACCTCCGGGTTGTCTAAATTTCTTTTGAATGCCTCCCGTGTTGGAGCCCTCACCACCTCCTGAGGTCATGGGTTTCATTGCTGAACTTGTTCCAATTTGTCATCATCTTCCTTGAAGTGCAGAGTCCATAACTGTACACAGTACTCAAGATGAGACCTAACCAGTACTGAATAGAGGGGAACTAATACCTTGCGGGATTTGGAGACTTATACTTTTGTTAATGCTGCCTAAAATAGTGTTTGCCTTTTTTGTAGCCGCATCACACGGTTGGCTCATATTCAGCTTGTGATCAACGACGATTCCAAGATCCTTCTCGCCCGTAGTATTGCTGAGCCATCTTATTAACTGTGTGTTTGGTTTCTTTTTCCGACGTGCAGTCCTTTGCACTTCTCCCTGTTGAATTTCAGCCCGGGGCTCAAGCCTATCTAGATCATTCTGAATTGTGTTTCTGTTTTCCAGAGTATCACCGATTCCGCCCAATTTTGTGTCATCTGCAAATCTGATTATTATGCCCTGCACATCCTTCAGAGCATTTCAAGACAAGAAATAAAAGGCCACGCAACAAAGGATCGTTTCCCCCTGATTATTTTATTGACATGCTAGCCCGGGGCTCAAGCCTATCTAGATCATTCTGAATTGTGTTCCTGTCTTCCAGGGTATCAGCGATTCCGCCCAATTTTGTGTCACCTGCAAATCTGATGATTACGCCCTGCACATCCTTCAGAGCATTTCAAGACAAGAAATAAAAGGCCACGCAACAAAGGATCGTTTCCCCCTGATTATTTTATTGACATGCTAAAAGATTCAGTCCTCAAAGCAGCTTTGTCATGCCCCACAGTGATGCTGTTTGCTGTGGGGCCACCCCACATCTGGTGTGGGAGGGTTTGATGGCGTCCGTCGGTGCTCAGAGCTGTGTGGTAACCACTTTCCATAAAGGGTCTCATGTACTTTGGTGCTCAGGAGGACAGGCCTGGAGCACAGAGTGTCTGGATGTCAGGAAAAATAACATAGCGATCAACTAATATGGTGGACCCAGAATTTGGGAACATGAGGATGTAGGAGAGCCATGAGATTTAAAATTGACAATGACTGACAGACCTACTTCCTGTTTCCTGTTGAGTTTAGTGATTAACTATCTGGACAACTCGCTTTACCCAGCATGTCTCTTCTCTCTTCCTGATGCTTTTCAACCATAACCCTAGCACTCATCATTAGCCGTTCTTCAATCCTGAAGAGGTTTTGCTAAGCTAAATTCACTGGAACCGAGGAATGCAGCTGTCACATTGACAATTGCTGAGCTCACACATTGAGAGATGTTTAAAGGGCTTAAATTGATAAACCAAAGACACCCTTGCAAGAGATCAGATGAGGAGGAGGGTTTGACATTTTTGGGAAACCAAGTGGTACAAAGTTTTGTGAAACTGCCCTGTAGCGGTAGGTAAATTCTCCTGGTAAATTCCAACTTCAAGCGGGGTTACAGGTGACCTCTTGCAAAGCATATCTGAATCACAAACATATCCCCTAGGTAGAAGGAAGCTCATCTGTGACAAGTGTGATGAATAAAGTCCATACAAATACTGTATAATAAATGCATGTATTATTGGGCCAAAATCCTTTCGCATTGTGTTGCTGGCAGATGGGCAGTCGTATCACCTGCAGTGGCAAATTGCCTCTAATGAACAAGTCGCTGCTTGGATCCCTGGTTTTGTGCCAAGTCATTCCATGTGCACACAATGAGGAACTGAAGAGGTGACTCGTTAAATCAGCAGCAATTTTCTATGGCGAGTGACCTTCGAAGCACATAACGATGCAAGAGGATCTTGGCCATTATCTTTTAATCTGTTTCCCCCAACAGAGGTGCTAGTAGTGGAATTCCCCCCCTACTCCTTGAACACACACTTGTGATTGGAATGGGGATTCTTAATATGAATTAATGTTTGTGGATATGAAATCAGGGGACTAGTGGACATTGATCTGATCCCTGTGTTGTACTGTGTGAACAGCTAACTTACTAGCTACTTCTGTTTAAACTACCTTTTGTCCATGAAATATCCTTGCTAAGTATATACATTTTCCCCTGAACATCAGGACTCTTTATATCCATTAGATTCTTCCAGAGGGGGCATTTTTCCAATACAATCTGTACTGTATTATATTGGAATTTTTACAGATATCCAAACAACATTTTTCCTGTCTCAGTTCACTTCCCCCCCATCTTTTTCATCCTGCTGAGACCCTTTGCTTTATTTTTAGTGGTACTTTGTTCCACCTCATCTTTTTTCATCCTGCTGAGACCCTTGCTTTATTTTTAGTGGTACTTTGTTCCAGCTACTGTTGTTTAGCACTACAACACTTCCCAAGATTTTGAGCCTTATGTTTTTCAGAATTTCTGCATTTTCAGTTACGATTTCAACACAGGGAGGTTTACAGAACAACAGTGGATTCTCGCTGCATATTGGCAAACCCGAGTTCAAAGCAAGCACATTGTTGAACCAGAGGTGCTGTTTGGTTTTAGACTTCTCATTGTCAGGAGGAGGCTCCTAGTGAATCCGATGAACTTCCATAGACAAGAAACAGAAAAAGGAATGAAAAATAAAAGGAAACCTGGGAGGATCATTTAAAAAGGAATGAAAAATAAAAGGAAACCTGGGAGGATCATTTTTGCCCGTTTTCGTACTCGCTCCAGCAACAAAATTTCAGCCAGCAGTAAATAGCACAGATACGAAAGCTGACAAATTTGGCCCATTTCAAATGAAGGACTTGCAGCTAAACCAATCATTTTTGAAGATTTCACAATACGTTTAGTGGACTTTGAAAACTTGTGGGTCTTTTCCCAATGGTGGCATATTTGCTGACTTTTTCTTTTCTTTTCCTATCATGGCATTTGGGTTTTTCAGAGTGCAACATTTCTACTCCGAACCCCCCCCCGCCTCCGTTGAATGTGCAGAGAACGGCATCTCATTTACTGTTTCTTATGGGAATATTTGTGCTGTTCTCTCACTCACTCCACAAAAACACACATATACACACTGCTGAGACTGAGGCTCAAAGGTTTTATACTTCAGTTCCTATTGAGTAGCAAAGCACCTTACTGGGGGGAGCTGAGAAGGCGAAAACTTTGACACACCCTAGAAGTGCAAATTAAGCCACAAAGCCACCTTTGGGTGCCAGGCCAGTTATTTTTTTTTTAAAGTGCTGACATTTCTAGCGATTTTTGAAAACGTTTTAAAATGCAAATCTAGCAGCGGTGCCCTCTGTCTCCTGAGGCCAAGCCATTCTGCACATCTCTGCTGCCTTAAACAATGCTCCCTCGCGGACGTTAATCTGTAAAGGACAGTGCTACAGTGCGTTATCATGGCTATTGGGAAGAAGTCTGGGGTGGGTGTGGGGTTGTTATCTGCGAGCTTTCAGAAAGCCCTTGGTTAACCGCTCCCCAGTGACAGAGGGAGGCAGACCCTACCCACCCTGAAAACCCACCCTATCCCCAGCTTTTGAATAAGCTACAGTACGTGCAAAAGAAAAACCCAAGAAAATTTGTCTAGCCCCGCATAGGAGGGGTAGGATAAGAAGGAACTTAGGAAGCCAGGCTGTGCTAGGTGTATTTGGGACGGGGCTGGCAGAAGGAGGCAGGAAACAGGAGAGAGAGAGCAAAGTGGAAAGGCAGGTTTAACATCATGGCTGTTCAGGAAGTCGGATCCTTTTTCCGTTTCTGGAAGCGTCGGAATTTGCCTTGGATGGCGAGGGCGGCCTTTTCGGTCTCGGGCGCGTTCAGATCAATGTCAATTTCTTCCTCTTCTGTTTCCACTTTCTTGGCGGGCGCAGCTTTGTCTGCAAGAAGGAGAAGGGGATGTCAACATGACACAAGCATATCCCGTTGCACCGGAACACCTCTGCATTTCTCCCAGTTTAACCGCAATAAATACGCAGCGGCAGCAATTCGGAGGGCTGGAAAAGAGCCAGGGGGACCCAGAGGGAGATGCACGATTTCAAGATGGACTAAAAGATATTGATTTTCTTAAGTTTTTTGGAGCAACGGTCTGTGAAAGATTGTCTGAATGCGGCCCAGAGAGCCTTCAATGGTGCATAAGGAAGGAGGAGGCCTGTGAAAAGCCATTAGTGCCTGATTCTCCCACATTAAAATTGTTTAACCCTCAAATGTCTTCCATCTGAAGCACAACAGAGAGCGAAAGAGAAAGAGAGAGGGAGGGAGAGAGAATTTTATACCAATTTACCGTTTCCCCGAAAATAAGACCTAACCTGAAAATAAGTCCTGGTAGGATTTTTCAGGATGCTCGTAATATAAGCCCTACCCCCAAAATAAACCCTAGTTAAGTGAAACCTCGCCCTCCACCCTTGTGCAGCAACCAGAAGAATATGGCATGACTGTATTTGAATAAATGCAGATTGTTCTACATGAAAAAAATAAAACACCCCCTGAAAATAAGCCCTAATGCATTTTTGTACCAAAAATTAATATAAGACCCTGTCTTATTTTCGGAACTGAAAGAAAAAAAATGTGCCCACAAAATTCAACAAATATGAAAACTGTCTCAGTAGTTCCCAACCTTAGTTCCCCAGATGTTCTTGGACTACAACTCCCAGAAATCCTGGCCAGCAGAGTTTGTGGTGAAAAGGCTTCTGGGAGTTGCAGTCCAAGAACATCTGGGGACACAAGGTTGGAACCATTACTCTAGATGGCAAAAAATGAGAAGACTCTCACAAAGAGGTACCAATCCTCATTCAGGCCAACATTGTGGAATACAAGGGAAGTCAAAACAAGAGTGTTAAGGGTTCAACTGTCAAAGCCCTTGGCCTAGAGACAAGTAGATTTCTCAGTTTCCTCTTTCTCTCAAATTGGAACTGTTTTAATCTCAAAATATTTCCACTTGGAAGTTGTTTGTAAATTTCGGTAATAAAAAAAAAAAGAATCGGACTGCATCCCGTTGTCACTCATCTATCTCCTCCTGGCAGTCACCTCCACTCAAGGGAGGTGGAAAAGCTCCGTGACCACATGAGGTGCTCATGGACAGGCAGGTGGAGAAAAAGGTCTGAATAGCATCGCGAAGACCAGTGGTTCTTAATTTTTTTTACTCGGATGTTTTTGAACTGCAACTCCCAGAAACCCCAGCCAGCACAATTGGTAGTGAAGGCTTCTGGGAGTTGTAGTCCAAAACTCCCAAGGTTAAGAACCACTGATCTACCACAACAGAAGGCACCACAATATGCCACCAGTTTGCCAGTCATGAACAGCCTTATCGCCTTGGGTAATAAAGCAGGGTTTTGATGACTGAGGGTAGTTTGACTGTTTCTGAGAGCAAATATTGAAGGTAGCCAATTTTTTCATGCACCCACAACCAAACAAGTATTTAGAGTATAAAATGCATATAAAACATGCATACACAGTTCAATACATAGTTGAAAAAAATGGGATGGAAGTAAAGAAGGAGATACTGTAAAATATGTAAATAGCAAACAAAAAAACCCTCTATTATTATATTATCGTTGTTATTATCATCATTTGAGGGACGATTTCTATGACACGTCGTATTTTTTTCTGCAACCTATGTTTGAGTTGATGGGTAAGTTTGAACCTGTTTATGAGTAATCTGGAGAGAAAGACAAGATGGCTCATCAACACGTTTGAAATGGCTTCCGGGTTCAAAGGCAGGTTGCAGAGAAAACGTGAAATGTCACAGAAACCTGACTTCTAATTCATCATCATTGCTATTCTTATCGTTCTCTTTCAGCACTGCTGTGTTTGGGGCTTGAACCCAAAGACCAAGACTAAAAATTAAGAATCAAGTCCTAAAAATTTGTGGGTGGAGGTGGCGTGCTTGGAAAAAAAAATCACTGATTTTGTTTTAAAAAATTGATTTAATTAATTAATTTCTCAGATGTCATTTACCCTCCTCCACTTCTTTCCATACTTCACGGTATAACGAACTGGCATTTTAAGTGTTCTTTACTCAATTATTTCAAAGTGTTCTGTACTTTTAAAGGCTTTTAAGCCATCATTCTTTTCTCCCTCCCTCTCTCTCGCACACATGTACACAATCTGTATAGGCTGTGGACTTTTTTGCCCTTGAATGTCTTTAGCAAAGCGCAAAAGTTAGCCCAGCGGAGGAGAACCTTATGAGGATCTTGGCCTGCCGGGCCTGGCAATATTTAGGGGAGCCTGGAGCCTGAGCGTTACCTAGCAACCGGAAGCTAGGTAAGGGCAGAAAGCAGCTCAGCCTTGGGGTTGCCTAGCAACCACTAAGATGGGGTCAGAACACACTGTCTCTATAAACCCCCTTTCTCTTTATTCAGTGTCTATAAGACTCCCTTTTCTATTTCAATACTCTGTAAATGCCAAACCTCTTACCGCAAGCCACAAAAACCACCTGAAGTGGTTTTCATGTGCAAGGATATATTTTTTGAGGGGAGGAGAATCTGGAGGCTGAAAAAAACTATAAGGAAGTTGGATAGTTCTCTCTCTCTCTCTCTTCATTCATGTATTTAAAATATTTATACTCCATCTTTCTTCTGACAGGACCCTGTTTGAACAGCCCTGATGGTATTAAGAGTTAAACACAATTAATTATTATGGTATTTCCCCCCCCCCTTCGGACAGGACCCTGTTTGAACAGCCCTGACGGCATTAAGAGCTAAATACAATTAATTATTACGGTATTTTTTTTTCCCAAAAAAGAATTAGATACCATATTGAAACATACAGGTAAAAAAAAAAAGAAAAGAAAAAAAAAAGCAAAGCATGCTGCTTATATACCACCCCATTGCACTTCAAGCACTCTCTGGGCGGTTTACGGACAGGACCCTGTTTGAACAGCCCTGACGGCATTAAGAGCTAAATACAATTAATTATTACGGTATTTTTTTTTCCCAAAAAAGAATTAGATACCATATTGAAACATACAGGTAAAAAAAAAAAGAAAAGAAAAAAAAAAGCAAAGCATGCTGCTTATATACCACCCCATTGCACTTCAAGCACTCTCTGGGCGGTTTACAATTTAATTATGCAGGCTACACATAAAAAGAGTTCTAAAAATGCATTTAAAAACATCACAGCCCTGGCTGAAGAACTCCTCACAGGCAGTCGGTCATGAAGAGAAGACCTGCCAGAAGAGAAAGGCCTTTGCCTGCTGGTGGAAGGACAGAAAGGACAGGACTTAGAAAGTTACTTTGAAAATTACTTTTTGGGTAGGAATACTACTGAATATTTATGCTTCTGCAATGGCATACGTAACTCAGAAGAGTGAATAGCCACTAATGAATGAGTTCTTGATCGAATTCCTAGTCATATGCTGAGTCATTCCAAGGACACACTACTAGGAATTCAACTGGTGACTTGTCAATTAGTGGCTACTATAATGCTAATTTATATCACAGCAGTTGTGCAGGTGCCAATACTCAATTTACAACATAATGTCGTAATGTTTAGAAATAAGGCTGTTTGGCTGCAGGGCCAGAAGTTGGGAGTTCCATTCCCCAGTCTGGCTCTAGAGAGAAGTGTCAGCCTGTGTAGCCTTGGGCAAGCTGCACAGTCCCAGGGTTGCCCCCCAGGGGAAGGACATCTGTCTGTTCTGTACCTGGAAAAACCCTGAAAAGAGCCACCATGTCAGAACTGAATTGACAGCGCACAATTATTATTATTTTTATAACCACCCAAAATGGCCAGAAATGGGCAAAAATGGATACAAAAGAAAAGGACTTTTAAAAAAATCTGAAAGTGCTTGAATAGCTAGTTCTGGTTTTGATTTTTGGGGGCTTGTGTGGTAGAGTTAGTTAGTTAGTTAGTTAGTTAGTTAGTTAGTTAGTTAGTTAGTTAGTTAGTTAGTTAGTTAGTTAGTTAGTTAGTTAGTTAGTTAGTTAGTTAGTTAGTTAGTTAGTTAGTTAGTTAGTTAGTTAGTTAGTTAGTTAGTTAGTTAGTTAGTTAGTTAGTTAGTTAGTTAGTTAGTTAGTTAGTTAGTTAGTTAGTTAGTTAGTTAGTTAGTTAGTTAGTTAGTTAGTTAGTTAGTTAGTTAGTTAGTTAGTTAGTTAGTTAGTTAGTTAGTTAGTTAGTTAGTTAGTTAGTTAGTTAGTTAGTTAGTTAGTTAGTTAGTTAGTTAGTTAGTTAGTTAGTTAGTTAGTTAGTTAGTTAGTTAGTTAGTTAGTTAGTTAGTTAGTTAGTTAGTTAGTTAGTTAGTTAGTTAGTTAGTTAGTTAGTTAGTTAGTTAGTTAGTTAGTTAGTTAGTTAGTTAGTTAGTTAGTTAGTTAGTTAGTTAGTTAGTTAGTTAGTTAGTTAGTTAGTTAGTTAGTTAGTTAGTTAGTTAGTTAGTTAGTTAGTTAGTTAGTTAGTTAGTTAGTTAGTTAGTTAGTTAGTTAGTTAGTTAGTTAGTTAGTTAGTTAGTTAGTTAGTTAGTTAGTTAGTTAGTTAGTTAGTTAGTTAGTTAGTTAGTTAGTTAGTTAGTTAGTTAGTTAGTTAGTTAGTTAGTTAGTTAGTTAGTTAGTTAGTTAGTTAGTTAGTTAGTTAGTTAGTTAGTTAGTTAGTTAGTTAGTTAGTTAGTTAGTTAGTTAGTTAGTTAGTTAGTTAGTTAGTTAGTTAGTTAGTTAGTTAGTTAGTTAGTTAGTTAGTTAGTTAGTTAGTTAGTTAGTTAGTTAGTTAGTTAGTTAGTTGTGGGTTTTTCAGGCTCTTTGGCGTGTTCTGAAAGTTGTTCTTCCTGATGTTTTGACAGTCTCTGTGGCCGGCATCTTCAGAGGACCAGGTAGGTAGGTAGGTAGGAGGGTGGGTGGGTGGATTAGATAGGTGGATTAGATAGATATGTAACGGAGACACTGACGTCCAGGGGCAGAAGTGTATCGGCTTCCTTTCATTTTCCCCCCCCATTTGGCTTGGCTTCCCTACAGAGCAATAACTATAGTGACAAGAATCTTTATGATAACAGCATAGAAGAATGTTTCATTCTCAGATTCTAGATTCACTCTTCCTTAAGTGA